CTGCCTGCAGCATTGCCGAGGTGGAGTCACTGTGTCTCCAGCTTCATCTACCTGGGGACTCATAAGAACCAGTTACGCAGTCAGTGGCTCAGGCCTATAACCCCAACACTTTGGGAGGCCGAGGCGGGATGATCGCTTGAGCCCAGAAGTTTGAAGCTGTAGTGAGCTGTGATCATGCCACTCTACAGCCTGGGCAACAGAGTGAGACTCCAGCTTACACACACAAAGAAAAGAACCCACTCATATTAAAGCCCCACATTATAATGGCCCAGAGGGCCCTGCATCTGGTTATTTCTTGGGTTCCCAAATAAGCACCCCTTTTGTACCCCAGGCTGGTGTGTCTGCTGCCAGCTCATCTGGTTAATGATTCTGCAAGACAGGTCTAGTTGCCACCACCTTCAAACCTCTATCCCCCCGGGTTGGAAACCCTAAGGTTCAGTGAGGTTGAGTAAGTTGCTCAGAAGACACAGCTCCCCTACCAGCCACGTCCTTCCCTCCTGCTCTTGCACACCCACAACCCTCGCCACAACCTCTGAAAGGAAGCATTGCAGATGCCACTATGGTGGCACCCACTGTAACATACCATCACTCCCCAGCAGCCAGCCCCTCGCTCAGAGCTATGTGGGTCCCATGCAGACTGGGGGATGATGGCCTTCTTCCAGCCCAAGATGGTCCTTAGCACTAGACCCTCCATCTGGGACAGTTTTTCCAGGAGCATCCTTGGGCAAGACCTGCCCTATCCCTTGTAGCCTCAGTTTCCCCCTCGTCATATGAGCAGATCCTTCAGGACAGACTCTCAGTGCCTTCCTGAGTGTCTGAGTCTCAGGCAGCAGCAAGAGAGGTTCTTCTACTTGTAGAAAGGAAGAAAAAAAAAGAAATGAGAGAAAACTCTGGGGCCAACCGCCTGGCCAGAGGCCTGCTTTTGCTTGTAGGAGCCAGGTCTTAGCTGCAGCCAAGCTGGCTCTACTCTCCCAGGGGCCGGGGCAATCTGCTCCACGATAGGCCCAGATACCCTGGGGCACAGCCAGCCCCAGCAAAGGGGCCACAAGCCCAGGGGAATAGCCTCCCTGAAGGCCACCTGCCCTGTGGCCAACATGCAGGGCACAACTGTCCTTACACTTAGGAGCCACAGACTATGAAGGGCTCCAGGAGGCTCTGGTAACACAGCCTTAGGCAGGTCCCGTCACCTGGCTTAGCCCCAGTGTTCTCCTCTGTACAGGGAGCACTAGCAACTTCTTCAGAGGACTGGCAAGGCAGAAGGTGAGCCTGCTGGGTGGACACAGGGAGACCTGGAGGAAAAGATCCCAAGTTCGTGCTTGCTGCGTGAGTAGCTGGCCTGGCACCCAGTAGATGCTGAACGCAGGTGGCTGCCTGTGGCAGGCTCTCAGCACCTGAGGGTTGTTGAGACTCAGGAAGGGCCATCCATCTCACCTCCCCATCCTGTGGCTCCTACAATCCAGTCCCCAAGCGCACCTGGCCTCCCTGTTGGTGAAAGCAGCGGAATAGGAGCCCACACTTAGAATGGAGCCAGCTCCAGCACACTTGCCCTCTTTCAGGGCTTCACCACCTGTCTTCTCGCTGTCAGGAGGAAGGGTGGAAGGCACTCCCTGTCTCACTGGCCCCTGAACATCACACCATGTGGCCCTGTGTCTCTCCTAAGCTCTGGGGCTTGCTGGACTTGCAGTCTTTTCAGGAGAATGCCAGGAGCAATGAGGAGACCTGAGGCCTCCCTGCCTCTCCACTCCCTCCCTCCCACCTTCCTCCCCTGAACACAGTCACTTGGTCCTGTCCTGCGGTGGGAGTTGGGGACACAGAGCTGCCTGAGATGCAGAGTGCATACTGCAGGAGGCAGCATCAAGCACAGCAAAAAGGGCGAGTGGCAGAGCGGGGAACAGGGTGCGGGGGCAGCGTTTGCCTGATGCCGAAAAGGAAGGGGTCCAGGCTGGGGCCTGGGACAGGGTGATGCCTGGCGGTCTCTGGCTTGGCTGCTTGGGTGCTGCTGGGACCTGCACGTAGGTAGCAAGGGAGGCAGGGGGTGCGGAGGAAGCTGGGAGGCAAGTTCGCGTTTGGAAGTGATGCCTCCCTGTGGAGTTGGACATTCAGATACAGAGCTCAGAATAAAGGGTAGGCCGGTTGTCCATCTGCACGTTGGTCACACGGCACCCCTAGCCCTGTGCCTGGTTAGGATCAGCCCTGAGGAGTGCGCACAGCAGCTTTATTCTCTCCCTCCATGTGGGCCCTTTCAGTCGGGGTCACATCCAGCCTGCCTGGCCTGCAGTTCACAGGCCCTGCGTGCTCAGCAACACCCCAGTCCTGCCTCAGCAGCTGCCCACCCTGCTGGCATCCCTCCCCATCTGCCTCTGCCTAACCATGCCACCCAGGAGAGCCACCAGACAAATCCATTAGTTCAGCCTCCCCAGCGCAGGCAAATGTCCTCATCTGGCTTCAGTTACCCAGGCAGAGAACTTCCTAGTTATACCCAGCAATGCCCATCAGTAAAGCACAGTGCTGCATTTGCTTCAGGTCTAGCAGAGTCTGGCTTCTTCCACCACTCACAGCCCCTTTCCTGCCATGCCCCACACTCTGCCCGGGGCCAGCGGCTTCGCTGAGCCCAGCACGACCTGAGGCCTGGCAGGAGTCCTGAAGCTTTGTGGGTGGCCCCTGGGCCTTCCTCCTACTCCTCCTACAGCCAGAGGAGAGGAATGCAGTGCCGAGTGTGTCAGGGGTTCCCATTCCCATACTTCACTCTCGTTGAAAACAGGCTCCAAGGGAAGGAAAGGCGACCCGAGTGCTGACTGCCCCCCAGACCTGGGGCTTAGTTAATAACCAGGGCTGGGTCATCTCGTGTGACTGGCTCCAGAGGTTCCCAGCACTGCCAGCCCCGTGCAGGGCACTGGGGGGAGATCAAGGCAGGTCTTTTGGCCACAACGGGTCTGAGATGCTGGTGGGACAAGCACGTGGAAATAGGAAGGTAACTGGCTGTGCAGTGTGCGTGTCGCAGGCCTTGGCCGAAAGCCGAGGTCCTGGAGGTGGCTCGTAAGCTGTAACCCACGCAGTCTGAGGAACTCTTATCTGTTCTGGGGGTCCCAGAATCCTGGCCTCGCCAAGTCAACACAGCCCCTGGCAACTCCAGCACAAACCCCAAACTCAAGGGTCGTGTCCAGGATGGGAGAAAACCAAGGCCTACGTCACTGGCATGGGTTTTTGCCCTTACAACTCAGGAGAGCAAGAAGTAACATGTTTTTCATTTTTAAATTTTGTTTGACCATCCTGACCTCAAGTCCCCAGTCCATGAGGCTGGCAAGAAATTCATTCTCGCTTCACCCCTGGGCCTGCAAAGCTTTTGGCGTCTAGCGTAGTACTGAGCGGCCCTCTCCACCGGAAGGGATCTCTCCTCTCTCGCTGTTCTCAGAGGCTGGCCCTCCCTCCTCCCCTTCCCTTAACAAAAGTCAAAAGTCGGGAAGCACCCCCGATCCTGCACTGCTTCTGCTTTTCTGCCCTGTTTCAATTCCTGGGCAGGGGGGTACAAATGAGCATGACCACCAGCCAAAAATTGGGGAGTAGGAAAAGAGACACATGTACACACACACACATGCACACACAAGACACAGCACACACAAACAGAGACACACACACAAGACAGACACACAAACACAGACATGCAGAAACACAGACACATGCACATACAAGACACACAAACACAGACACACAAAAACAGATACACACAAGACACAGACACACAGAAACGCAGAGACACACGCACACATGACACAGACACACAAACACAAAGACATACACACACACAGATACAGACACACATGCACACACAAGACACACAAACAGAGACACACACATGCACACACAGACACACACACAGAGACACAGACACGCACACAGACATGCATACATAGAGACACAGACAGACACACTCACACAGATACACATGGACGCCCACACTCATTTTTCCATGAACCGTCCTGCCACAGATGCGATTGGGGCCAGCCTCCTGCATCTTCGTGGTCGTTCTGACAACTCTTGAGGGGGTTTGAGGTTGACTTTTGCAGGAAAGGGCAGCACTTTATCTTAGGGTCACAACCTGTCCCACTGTCACCTCCAGGCCCAGCCCAGAGCCTGGCATGCAGTGGGTGAGCGAGATGTATCAGATGCCATTTACAGATTGGAATCTTGTACCTGTATCCAACCTCACTGAAACGGGGCGAGAAGAGGTTCCAGGAAGGATTGCAGTGAGTGCCAGAAGTGAGGGGAGGGAGAGGGAGGCCTCGGACCTCTGCTCCCACAGCCAGAGCCGAGGCATCTCCTTCAGCATTGAGGTCACTCTGGTCTCAGGGTCTGACATGGGCGGAGGGCTAGGGCGGAGGCGGGGGCTCTGCACGGTAAATTCAGAAGGGCTTACAGTGCGCAGATGGAGGACAGATGTGGAAAGGAAGCCCAGCAGGTGGCTGAACAGCTCCTGGCTCTGGGGAAGGAGGAGCTGGAGGCCCCTGGGAGTGGCAGAGGTCTGCAGCCCGATAGCGCAGTGCCTGTCCTGACCAAATTTCGGCACTGCGCAGCTGGAACAGCCTCTTTGTTTTGCTGGCTTTGTTGATTTACTGGAGCGAATATTAAGAAGCATTTGTCAGGGCTTTCCTATGGTAACCCTACCCTTACTTTCCTCCTAAGTCCGAAGTTTCTCTGTGATTGCAGGAGGGCTTAGGAATGACTAAGTGAACTGATGACTGAATAATAGAATGAGTGTGTGGGACATGAGGGATGCGGTCACCTGGGGATGGGGGTTGGCAGAACGGGCGAGGCAGTGGCAGAAGGAGGGGGTTTCTCCCCACGCATCTCCCCTCCACAGCCGCAGACCCCCTCAGGCAGGACACTGCCAGAAAGCTGTTGCAGGTGGATGGGTGGGCGGACTGGGTGAGCTGGGCATGCCCCACGAAGCCAAGCCCGCTGGCTTCCCTTCTCAATAAATGCGTCCTTGTTTTCCTGCCTAGGGCCCCCTGGACGGCGTGGCAAGCCTGGGAGAAGAGGCGACCCTGGTGAGTCCCAGATTTTCTCAGCTCCTGAGCTGAGGCTCCAGCTGCAGGGCCTGACCACCTGCTCCCAACCCTGAGTGAGGCCTTGGCCCTGGGCAGGTGCTCCTCCCCTTTCCAAGCCCAGCTGCTGTTTCCGGAGGTCACAGCACGCAGGACTGCCTTTCCCTGGCTTGTTGGCATTCGGAGTTCCAGTACTTTTCCCTCTGCCCCCAGCCATCCCCTGAATCTCATTGTTGTCCTTGAACGCTTTGGCCACTAGTCTCCCACCCCAAAGCAGCCCCCTCTCTCTGAGGCAGAAGGTGATGACTCTGCCAGCCATGGCTTCCCCCATGGGTCTTCAACACGACGCGATTCCCCTGTGGGTTTCATCCCTCCCAAGACGTGGCCTGTCCTTCCTTAGCAGAGCCACCAGGAAGAGACTCCTCCACCTCCCTTCCCTGCAGCCCTCAGAGGCACCTGTACTCACTGCCCTTCCTTCCTGCTCTCTTTCACCCAGAACTCCCCCTGCCCAGCCCCCAGCAGTTTGCCCCCTTTGCCCAGGGACTCTTCCCTAAGCCCCTCTGACATCGTCTTGACTAAAGTCACGCTGACCTCTGATGGCCACACCGGATGCTTTGCTGTCTTTCTCTTTCTTGACCCCTACCCTTAGCCACTCCCTCCAACCTGCCCTGTGAATGAATCTCCCTTGGCTCCCTCCTCTCCCCTCCCCTCCTCTCCTCTCTTCTCCTGTCCCCCCACAGTCTCCCATGCCTGTGACACTGACCAGGTCCTCTCCCTGCCTCCAGCTACATCCTCTCCTCTGGGTCCCAGAGTTTGGACACTGCCCTGCTGAAGCCAGCATCTCCCCCAGCCTTCTCCCCTAGGCCTCCCCATTGTAGGGAGGAGGCATCTAGCCACCTGCTTCCCTGTGTAGATACCTGGCTGCATCCTCCATCCCTCCCCTGCCCACGCCAAGTCCCCTTGAGCCTCCTCCTCCGTACATCTCGGACCCGGGTCCTCTTCTCTGTTCTCACCACCACAGCCTCCTACAGCTCTTACCACCCCCCACGCCATGCCCCCACCTCCAGCCTCACCATGGATGTCCAGGGCCCTCCAGCTTCTGAGCCATTACTCATGTCCTCCCGCACCCAGAAGGGGTCCTCTACCTGGACTCACCCGAGATTATTACCCTTTGTCCTTCAAGCCTCACTCAATCATCTTCTCCAAAAATCCTCTAACTGTTTTGGCTGAGAGGTATCACCCCACATTCAGCACAAGCAGCCCCCAGGCCTGTAAATGCAGGGGATAGGGAAAGAATGAGTGCCCAGCCCCTAAACAACTTCACAAGGTGGACAAGATGACGAAGCTGGGCCAGTCCACCACCAAGAGGACCCCAGGCCAACTGGGCCCAAGGGGAGGCAGGGGCAGGTTTGCTCCAGGCCTCAGACTCTTCTCCCTGGAGCTGGGCACAGGCTTTCTGCCTCCTTGTTCTGCTGGGTTTGCAGTGTCGCGTTCCTTATGCAGAGGCCCTCCAGATAAACTCCTCAGCACTCACCGACAGGAAGCACCCTTCATGTCTCTTTTTGCCTTGACTTCTGGAAGCTGAAGCCCGTTTGAGTTCAAAGGGTTGAGCTTCCTTTAGCCTGGCTTCTGTGTGTAATCACCCCATACTCTGCCAAATACACGCTTCATTACTCAGTTCTTATTTTCTACCCTCGTTAAAGGTTTTATTGCCTTTTATTATAAGTTCCTGACATGCTTTTTGGAAGGAACTGTATCCTCGATCCTTCCCCTGCTCACGCCAGGTCCCGCCCCTGCCCACGCCAGGTCCCGCCCCTGCCCACACCAAATGAATACAGAGTCAGTTTTTAGGACAAAGTATAATACTATTCAGCTTACTCCGAAATCCATTTAAAACATGACTCATGTTTACAACAACCTCAAAGTCAAGGAAACACAGACTCACTGGGCCCCTGACCCTGTGCTGGGCGCTTTCAAGTCCTTTATCTCATATGATCCTCAGAGCGCTGCAAGATAAGAAGACGTTATTATACCCACTTGCTGATGAGGAAACTGAGGCTCCAAGGGGTGCAGCACCTTGCCTGAGGCAGCTGCTCAGCAAGGAGAGGGTAGGATCTCTCCCCCTCATTGTTTTTCCAGTGTGGTGTCCCTATATTCTGCCTGTCCAAAAACAGAGTGAGCTGCATAGAGCAGATGTGCCTCCCTGATTGGCCTTGGCTGTGCCTGGTATTTGTTTCTAGATAGTTACACACATATGCACATCCTGGATTTCCTGCCTTCCTCTGTATAAAGCGGCCTTTTTCCGGTGTCCCTGGGAGAAAGGCTCTTTTTTTTTTTTTTTTTTTTGACAGAGTTGCTCTGTCACTCATGCTAGAGTGCAGCGGCACAATCTCAGCTCACAGCAGCCTCTGCACCTCAGATTCAAGCAATTCACTTGTCTCAGCCACCTGAGTAGCTGGATTACAGGCACACATCACCACGCTCGGCTAACTTTTGTATTTTTAGTAGAGACAAGATTTCACCATGTTGGCCAGGCTGGTCTCGAACTCCTGGCCTCAAGTGATCTGCCTGCCTTGGCCTCCCAAAGTGTTGGGATTGTAGGCATAAGCCACCGTACCTGCCAGAGAAAGGCTCTTTTTGCTAGGTGGGGCAGTACCTGGCTGCGGTGCCTTCCTGAGGCCGCTGCAGACCTGCAGGTAGGGTGATCCTGCCTGCCTCAGGGCAGGAGCCTTCCTAGCTCCCAGTAGGAGATCCACAGTCCTGCAGCGTTTCTGTGTCTCTATTCAAAATGGAATGGATTTCTCACCTTCCCCTGGATGGTTTCTTAGCTGGAGAATCTCAGAACTGCGCCTGTGCTCTGGGGTCCTCTTTCTTTCTAAGGGCCTTGGGCAGGATCCTCTCTCCTCCCAGACTCTCCTTTCCCCAAGAGTGTCCATCACCCTTCCCTGCTCTGGTAACCCTAGATAACTCCCTCCATCTCAGCGCTTCCCACACTGGGGTGTTGGCCTGGTCTTCAGACTTGTCCTGCTTCTCCACCAAAGCACGGGCTCCTCAGGGCAGGGGTTGGGCTGGGCCCCCACTCAGGAGATGGTCCATAAATGCTTACTGACAGGAAGGAGGAGAGGAGAGAGGAAGAAAGAGGTCCTTGCAGACAAATGAAGAACAGTTAGGAGACTGCTTGGCCAATGCCTACACAAACCTACAGAGACAAATGGAAGCACTCACCAGATCTCCACCGTTGCTAGCCTTGGATCAACAGGTTCAGTGCTAGAGTCTTTTATCTGCCCTGACCCCAAGAAATTTTTTCTGAAAATCCAGTGGAAGAAGCACTTCTGGAATGGTGGGGTGAGGACCTCCGAAGATCTCCATAAGGGAGCAAAAACAATGGGGAAGACTGACCTTTTCAGAAGTCTGGAAATGAACAAAAGTTTTGTAACAATCCAAGAAATGTTTATTCAGAAAATAGCCGAATCTTGCTGTTAATAAGAACTGTAAGATTTGTAGCATTTTAATTTTCTTCTCTCTCAAGCTCTGTGGTAGCCTTAAAAACCAAGCATAGTGCACACCTATAATCCCAGCACTTTGGGAGGCTGAGGCGGGTGGATTGCTTGAGGCCAGGAGTTTGAGACCAGCCTAGCCAACATGGTGAAACCCCATCTCTACTGAAAATACAAAAATTAGCCAGGTGTGGTGGTGCACACCTGTAGTCCCAGCAACTTGAGTGCCCCAACTCAAAGGTTGAGGCACATGAATCGCTTGAACCCAGGAGGCAGAGGTTGCAGTGAGCTGAGAACACGCCACTGCACTCCAGCAGACTCTATCTGAAAAACAAACAAACAAACAACAACAAAAAAAACCCAGCAATGTCACAACCACAGTACTTGTTTGTGAAAACTAGCAGCCACTGGAGACTTAAAGAACTGCAGTCTTCTTTAAGGCAGTTCATTCATAACAGAATGAAGCTTGCAAATGCTCATCCCCTGAGAATTGTCACTATTTGAACTTGTCTGGCAGCTCCATGGAAAAGCACCATACCCAAGGCTTGTCTTTTGGTGATCTGATGCACAGCTTGCTCAGAAGGAAGAGGCCTGTCCCCAGGGTACTTCACAAAAATAATCAGCAGCAATCGTTCACATTGAAGCTGCTTGAGGTGATGACACCAGTGGATGACTTGAAAACTTACAATAAAAATATAGGGAACGAGATGTTCAAAGGAGCTTTGAAAAGCTCCAGCTTATTCTTCGGTATCTAGAAGGCACATGCATGTGCAGGGCTATGTACATGTCCAGGAAGAACCTCTCTTAGAGCCCTAGTCTCTCACCTCTTGTTGACCTTGAGATTGTTCAAACAGGAAATGAAGACAGAGGCAGAGCTATAGCCTGGTAGAACGTTGAAGGTGCGTTCCAGCACACACAAAGGGCCCACCAGCAGAGTGGGAGACGTTGGATCAAGACATTAAAGGAAATCTCTGTCTAAGCTGACCACTAAGCTAAACAAGCAGAGAATTCAGGAGCTGCAAATGACAAAAAATAAACACTTTAAAGAATTAGTTCAGGAAAGGCCCTCAACAAAGAGCAACAACGGCAAATCCTAGAAGGGAGAAGAGAGGTCTGATTTCCAGAGTAGCCACATTAGATTAGTTTAAATGTCCAACTTTTAACAAAAAATTAAAAGACAGGAAATTATGGCAATAAAAAAGGAACCAGTGCAGTCAATAGAAACTGTCCCTGAGGAATCCCAGATGTAATTACTAGACAGAGATGTAGTATTGGTTATTATAAATATGTTCAAAAAACTAAAGGAAACCGTGTTTGAAGAAATAAAGGAAAGCATGAGAATCATGTTCTTGGAGTTTATCAGTAAACTGATAAAAAGTATTTTTTAAAGAACCAAATAAAAACTTGGGAGGTGCAAAGTACCATAATTGAAATGAAACGTCAGTAGAGGGCTTCAACAGTAGATGTGGGCTGACAGAAGAAAGAATCAGCAAACTTGCAAATAGG